CTCCTTTGCTGTTTATCAGAGATAGTCAAGTGCAGAATGCACTCAAGTAGGGAAGACGGAAAAGTATAAAAGGAATTGCTGGGCTTCAAAGACAAAGCAATGCTGTAAGATCATGACAGTGTGGTTCTTTTCACAGTGCTTAATATAAAGTAAAAAAGGAGATCCTTTAAGTTAGAAACTTTTAAGACTGGGAAACGCAGTGTTTGGCAAGGTGGATTCCAAGGTTAAAAGAGAAAATGGTAAACAACCCAGCATGGTGGGAAAAAGTTATAGTTAGAAGTCCCAAGTTCTAGTTCAAAGTCTGACTTGCTAGGCACTTGGGCGAGTCACTGAACTTCTAGGCATCTATTTCCTCCTCTGTAAGTCACAAATATTATTTTCTGTTCCTAAAACAGTTTTGATTTGTAAGCAAATTATAAAATAATTTACACAAATGTGACTTTTTAATCATAAAGGACTGTTTTTATAATGAGTTTTACTAATACTATTAATATTTCTTTCAGTCATAATTCCTAATCCCCATTAATAAAGCTGTCCATTCCCTCACATTCTCAAATCACAGTCAAAAGACTGCCTAAGTACGTGTCGCTCAAAACTCACTTCCTGATTGACTTTTACATAACATCCACAACATTTACTGGTCCCCAGGTTAACCAACCATACCCATCAATTTTAAAGTATATGCACAATGACAGCTGTCTTCCACACATCATGCCGTGACCCTAAAAACCAGTTAGCATGGTGATCATTCAAATTCTACAAGCCCATGGGAAAAGTTCATTAACAACCTCACCTGGGCATGTATCTGCTTGTGTGTTTTTTGTTTGTTTTGAGACAGAGTCTCACTCTGTCACCAGGCTGGAGTATTGTGGTGTGATCTCGGCTTACTGCAATCTCTGCCTCCCTGGTTCAATCAATTCTTCTGCCTCAGCCTCCCGAGTAGCTGGGATTACAGGCATGTGTCACCATGCCTAGCTAATTTTTGTATTTTTAGTAGAGATGGGGTTTCACCATGTTGGCCAGGATGGTCTTGATCTCCTGACCTTGTGATCCACCCTCCTTGGCCTCCCAAAGTGCAGATATTTCAGGCACGAGCCACGGTGCCTGGCCCACCTGTTTGTGAAAACACAAGCAGAGACTACTCCTGCTTCCCTTTAACTGTCCACCTAAAAGATTTAACCATCTAACATCTTTTTATTCCCTTAAGCCTCCAGAAAGACTCCTGTCTCTTTTCCATTCGATGCTTCAACTTCAAAAACCAAAGAAAAGTAAATGTAATCATCAGTGTTTGCTCATTCAATAAGTATTTATTGCTAACTTATGTGCTAACTTATTGGTCTAGACACTGAAATACAACAGTGACCAAAAAGAGACAAAACGTCCTGCCCAAATGAAGCATAAAATTCTAATAGCAGGGGACACAATCAATAATATAAATCAGTAATATATACAGTATGGTAGATTCTGAAAAGTACTAAGGAAAACTAAAGAAGTGCAGAGAAATAAGAAGTGTCAATATGTGTGTAGGAGATAGAGAAAGTTACATACAGTGGTCAGGAAAGTACTTGCTGAAAGGGTAATATTTCAGTCAAGTCTTGAAGGATTGTTAATGAATTATTAATTTTTTCATTTAAGATTTATTTATGATTTGTCTATAACATCAGTCATACTCACATATATACATAGATATCCAATTTAAATCTTGTTACAACAACCTAAGATTAATCCAAATTATTTTAAAACTGGCAATAAAATAGTACTTATGAGCTCTATAAACCATATCATATATACCTAAGCCATGAATATGGGTGGCAGTTATAAGGTGGATGAAAAATTTAAATTTAAAAATGCCCTAAATAAACTATGGGAATGTAGTTTTAGTTAAAATATATTACATTTTTGATTTAAAACATACCCAAAGGAGTATTTTCAAAGTACTAAATACATGATCACACTAAAATTTTACACACAAATCCATAAACCTACCGCTACACATAACACTAATGTTGCAGGTTAGGTGAATTTCCTTAACAGCAGGAAAAAATTAAATCTTTATAAATATTATAGGTGTCATAGATAATTTTTCTTATACCAGTTTACTTTTAGAGCCATATAAAAAGTTAAAAGCACAAATAAAATTTTGTAACCATCAAAATGCACTTAAATTAAGACAATATAAATATTGTTAACAGATTATTATTATTTATTTATTTTTCCCCCCATTTATTTTATTGCATTTTAGGCTTTGGGGTACATGTGAAGAACATGCAAAATTGTTGCATATGTACACACGTGGCAGTGTGATTTGCTGCCTTCCTCCCCATCACCTACATCTGGCATTTCTCCCCTTGCTATCTCTCCCCAGCTCCCCACCTCTCACCGTCCCTCCCCTATTTCCCCCCAACTGACCCCAGTGTGTAGTGTTCCCCTTCCTGTGTCCATGTGTTCTCATTGTTCAACACCCTCCTATGAGTGAGAACATGTACAATAAGTTTGACTTATTAATTTATTTTAACTGCATATATGGTAAAACAAATATTAGAAGTTCCTATCCAACTCAAGAATAAGTGGCAAATTCAAGTAAGATTAATCTCTTCTTAGGTATCAAAATTGTAACTGAATGTTCTGGTCATTTTATTTTTATTTATTTTATTTTATTTCTTTTTTTATTATCGTACTTTAAGTTCTGGGGTACATGTACAGAACATGCAGGTTTGTTATATAAGTACATGTGCCATGGTGGTATGCTGCATCCATCACCCCATCATCTACATTAGGTATTTCTCCTAATGCTATCCCTCCCTTATTCCCCCCACCCTCTGCTATCTCTCCCCTAGCCTCCCGTCCTTCAACAGGTCCCAGTGTATGATGTTCCTCTCCCCGTGTCCATGTGTTCTCATTATTCAACATTCACTTATGAGTGAGAACATGCAGTGTTTGGTTTTCTGTTCTTGTGTCAGTTTGCAGAGAATGATGGTTTCCAGCTTCACCCATATCCCTGCAAAGGACATGAGCTCATCCTTTTTTATGGCTGCACAGTATTCCATGGTATATATGTATCATATTTTCTTTATCCAGTCTACCATTGATGGGCATTTGGGTTGGTTCCAAGTCTTTGCTATTGTGAACAGTGCTGCAATAAACATACATGTGCATGTGTCTTTATAACAGAATGATTTCTAATCCTTTGAGTATATACCCAGTAGTGGGATTGCTGGGTCAAATGGCATTTCTGGTTGTAGATCCTTGAGGAATTGCCACACTGTCTTCCACAATGGTTGAACTAGTTTACACTCCCACCAACAATGTAAAAGTGTTCCTATTTCTCCACATCCTCTCCAGCATCTGTTGTCTCCTGATTTTTTTAATGATCACCAATTTAACTGGGGTGAGATGGTATCTCCCGGTGGTTTTGATTTGCATTTCTCTAATGGGTCTGATCATTTTAATATCATCTTAAGTTTATTATTTGAAAACAAAAATTACTATATGGATAATTCTATGAAGAAGTTTACTAAACAACATATTTAAGAAACATAATTAAATAGGCATTAACAAAGCCATGATATTTAACCACCAATCCCTTCTTTCTATAAAAGTGTTAGACAAACCACATAGGTCAAATCTGGCCCACTTCCTACTTTTATAAACAAAGTTTTATCGAAACACAGTCACATCCATTCATTTAAGTCTTGTCTGTAGCTATTTTTGCGCTATAGCAGCAGAAATAAATAGTTGAGATAGAGACTGTATGGGCCATAAGCCCTAAAACGTTAGCTGTCAGGCCTTTTAATAAAGTTTTTACCAATCTTTGCCTTATAAGATTCATAAAATCTTTTCTCCACAGGGACAACCCTAGTTTTGATCCTGGAGTCATCTCCAGTCATTCGTTCTTTACGGCTCCATACCCATTCTTACCAGGCTGAAATCTTTTTTGAGGTGTGCTGTCCTTAGAAGCATGCTAAAAGAGAGCATCCTCAGACTCACCTTTCAAACACGAATTTCCAGTTTCCAATGTGGAAGCCATTCAGCTGCAAATATTACTGCAATATACTCATCTTTCAAATGTTTTGTGTCCCTGTACACATTCATTTGTGCACTGATTTATTCAAATTCACCTCTACACAGTCTCTGCTCAGTTAATTACAAACCTTTTCATAGTTTCTACTTGAACATACTAGTGCTGAATATACTTTATATAAACTACAGAATTGTTGGATAATGTTAATGAATCTCTACTCTTAAGCAGCTATTTGAAACTACTAACTGGCCGATTACTTCTAGAGAGAATATGTGGACCACCTATCTTTTAAAACAAATGTCCATATTACTATCGTATTGATAGTCTCATTGACTGAACACCCTGACTTTGCTAATCTACATACTGGCTAAGAGAATTCATGGCTGATACTGATCTCCACCTATCACACTTTTTACTTTTCTCAGTCTTCATTGATTCTTCTGATACCTCCTCTCAATATGAGAGGTATAGCTTTGCTATTACACTGTTGAATAAAATGAAACAGATTCTATTCAAAGTGCTACCAGAAAAAAATTAAACTCTAAGAAATCAGGTAATGACCTCTGAGATTTTTTTCTGTTCTACCATCAAATCTTTTCATTCCTAAAAAATTACAGAAGGTAAAAACATAATTTACACATGACAAACTGTGGGTTACAAAGTGCTACTATCCCAAGAAAATACGCATTATAATGATACACTATATTTTAAAACTCAGTTGTTCCTTATACATATGAATCTGAAGTTAACCACTATATATAACACTAAATTCTGTCATATAAATAAAATAATTATTATTTATAAACACATTTCAATAAATAAAAGTAATACAAATATTTTTCCTTTGACTTTTGAAAAAGCACAGCTGCTGAGAGTATGCCAATTGACAAAAATTGCTTTTAAAAAAAAGCTCAATCTTAAAAGCTTTTCTAGAAAAAAAAAATGCAAAATAAAGGAATAATAGTAGGTTTGCTCTTACTGGAATTGTGGCAGTAGTCAATGTATTGTGGAACTTGGATTGTGAAGGCCATCAAATCTGGAGCTAAGAGGGACTCTGGCTTTCTACTCTCCTTGAGCCACTTGGTGCTATGAAGGTCTTTAGTGTCAGAAGGACCCTGAAGCAAGGGTATCAACTTCTCTTTTCCACTATCAACTGAAAAGAAATATTTATAAAACAACAATAAAAGCAGAACATGAGTAGCTTCAGACTGTTTGATTTTAAAATACACTAACAATAATATTTCAATTTTATCCGATAATTTTAGCTATACATTTAATTATATTGAATCTGATGAAATGTAAAGCATTTTTAACTCTTAAGTTTTCATATTTGCTAATGAATACAGAACATGTCCAGAAAGGTTTATAAAAGCAAACAACTAATGAAATCTGTACCTTTATAAACTTATCTTAAAATTAGTTTACACTGAAAAAATCACAAATAGTTTTTTAAAAAGATTATGAAATAAAATATTGGTAGGGAGGTAAAGTCATTTACAACCAAAATTTAAAAACAATTGGGTCTCCTATTTAATTATAATAACAACTTTTTAATTTCATCTCAAGTGACATATATATACCTCCTATTCCCCCAAAAAGTGTAATAAGCATTACTCTAATTTTTCTCCCTCATAACCATTCATAAAACTAAGTATTTTTCCCTAAATAAAAATTAATTTGTTAATATCAAGAAGTATCATCCTGGCACAATTAGAAAAAATTTTAAGTAAAAATTTAAAACGTCTGATTCATAGGAACAATGAGTAAATTCTTGTTTCAGTAACGCTCCTTGTAAAACGCAAGGCCAATTCTCCTATACAGGCAATAAAGTTTTACACGGTCCAGCTGCACATACCTGGGGCTTTGGCACAAATTTTTATTGATCCCACGGTCCCAGAGGCACATTTGACCAATGATGTGCTGCAGTACTTCAATTCAACATTCTGGATTGAGCCCTCAAGAGTTGGCAGGGGATTCTTAGATTTCACACCTAATAAAAGAAAACTGCAAATGTACTAGCCGATTGAATTTAAATAATTTTTATACTCCTTCACCAAGGCATTTAAACTTAATTATACTTTAACTATCTACCTCAGATGTTCTTACAGTATTTGTGTTAGGTTTCATAGTTTAGTGTTTTGGAGGTGAAAGAATGCAAATTTAAAATAAATGGGCTGAACTCTCATAACTATACTTACTCAATTCTTGATAAGTCAAACGCAAGAAATAAAAGGAAATGCACGAATCCTTTTTAAGAAAACAAGAGACAGCTTTAAAAATTATATTTGGCTTTAAAAAGCAGAGTAAAATTTTTATTTTTGGAACAAATTTAACTTATAAGTCAAGTTTTGAAGACTTTTTTTTTTTGGACACAGAGTCTCTGTCACCCAGGCTGGAGTGCAGCGGCGTGCTCTCAGCTCACTGCAACCTCTGCCTCCCAGATTTAAGCAATTCTCCTGCCTTAGCCTCCCTAGCAGCTGGAATTGCAGGCATGTTCCACCAGCCTGGCTAATTTTTATATTTTTAGTAGAGATGGGGTTTTCCCATGTTGGCCAGGCTGGTCTTGAACTCCTGACCTCAGGTGACCCGCCTGCCTCAGCCTTCCAAAGTGCTGGGATTACAGGTATGCACCACCACGCCAAGCCTAGGTGGAGACATTTAAACATAAAACTATCTGAGGAAACTTTTTCTCCCAATATCTTGGTCAGATGAAATGAGGAGACAGAAACAAAATACAGGTTGAAGATCCTTTATCCAAAATACCTTGAACCAGCAGTGTCTTGAATTTTGGATTTTGTTGGATTTTGGAATTTATATTATATACTCACCAGTGGAGCATCCCTACTGTGAAAACCAAAAATCCAAAATGCGGCCAGGCGCAGTGGCTCACGCTTGTAATCTCAGCACTTTGGGAGGCCAAGGTAGGCAGATCACAAGGTCAAGAGGTTGAGACCATCCTGGCCAACATAGTGAAACCCCATCTCTACTAAAAAATACAAAAATTAGCTGGGCGTGGTGGTATGCACCTGTAGTCCCAGCTACTCGGGAGGCTGAGGCAGAAGAATTGCTTGAACCTGGGAGGCAGAGGTTACAGTGAGCCGAGATTGTACCACTGCACTCCAGCCTGGTGCCTGGTGACAAAGCGAGACTCTGTCTCAAAAAAAAAAAAAAATCCAAAATGCTCCAATGAACATTTCCTTTGAGAGTCATGTCGGTTCTCAAAAAGTTTCAGATGTTAGAACACTTCAGATTTTGAATTTTCAGACTAGCGTCAGTCAGTCTGTAACTCAAAATAGCTCCTGTGTTAAAATACTTAACCTAAAATGCTCATATATAAAATTTACATGCTCTGTGTAAATAAAAAGGAAGCAAATGAATGTTTATCAGTTAACCAAGAAGTAAGTATTAATATCTTTATTATGTACTACTTGCTAAAGGATATAAAAGCACAGAAGGTACTAATTTCCATAAATAGATGGCTAGAAAAATGTAATCAAAAGAGAGCTCATTTTGATCCTTAAGGATAGGTGAGAATTACACAGGCAAAGAAACCTTAGGAATATGATACTGACAGTATGGACAACCGCCACTACAATGATCATAATGGTGATGATGATGATGATGATGATAATTAACTGTAATCAATTAACATTTACTGAGGACTTAAGTATGTATTATGTACATTATCACATTCAGTCCTTACAACAGGCCTATATTATAGCTATTATTATTATCTTCATTTTACAGATGAGGATACAATAGATTAGAGAAAGTAACTAATTTTTGCCCAGAGGAAAACAGTTACTATGTGAAAGACCTAGAGTGTTTAGCATAATCAGATCCTATCACAGACATTATCACTCATTTCGCCAACTATTCATAAAAACCCACCAACATAATTTCGTTTCTTTTCCCCTTTCCACACTTTGGTTAAATATATTTCATCCTTTGCTTTTGATATTCAACTATGTTTGAATAATTAAGAATATCATCACTTTCTATGATAGTTGTATTAAATATTATTCTAAAACCTTTGACTTCACACTTTAGGGTATTCAAGGAGACTCATAATATCGCAAAGAAATTATGATTCAGTCATCCTGAGCTATGGCCAGGATTCTGATATTTAACAAGCACATTAAATGATTTGCAAATGGTTGGAGGACGTTATCCTGAGAAATATCTTGTCCCATACCAACCCTTGTGATACGATTTGGCTTTGTGTCCCACCCTAACCCATGTTGAATTATAAACCCACGGTGTGAAGGGAGGAACCTGGTGGGAAGTGACTGGATTATGGGGGCAGTTTCCCCCATGCTGTTCTCATGATAATGAGGGACTTCTCACAAACTCTGATGGTTTTAAAAGGACGGCACATCCTCACTCACTGGCAATTCTCTCTCCTGCCACCATGTGAAGAAGGGACTTACTTCCCCTTTGCCTTCTGCCATAATTGTAAATTTCCTGAGCCCTCTCCAACCATGTGGAACTGTGAGTCAATTAAACATGTTTCCTTTATAAATTACCCAGTCTCAGGCAGTTCTTTACAGCAGTATGAAAACAAACTAATACTCGGAGCTATTAATTCGCCAATTTGTATTTTGTCTTTATATAATTGTGTACTGATTGGTTGCTATTTTCCAATACTTGCCACCTGTATGGTGTCCATTAGAAGAGATGTCCACTATCCTCTGAGAATGAGTTCTAAATCGATGGTCTATAGCACACTTTAAGGAGTCCATTACACCTATTAAATGGTATCTAAAATGCTGTATATTTATGCATTTTAAGCATTTTTAACAGATTCTCTAAATTCATGTCTCAGAAAATTTTAATATCTCAGAAAATTAAATGATGCCAACAATGCTAATACAATCATTATCATCGTAGTAGCAGCAGTAGTAGTATCAGTAATAGTAACCATACTACTTAACATTCACTGAGCACTTATTGACTCCCTTGCATGGTGCCTATTTTATTTATTCGGCATACACAAAATAATCCTTAGAAGATATTACTATTTTCATTCTACATATATTTAAAAAAGGATTGGAGGCCAGATGTGGTGGCTCATACCTGTAATCTCACTTTGGGAGGCCAAGGCAGGCAGATAACTGAGGTAAGGAGTTTGAGACCAGCCTGACCAGCATGGTGAAAACTTGTCTCTATTAAAAATACAAAATTAGCTGGATGTGGTGGCGTATGCCTGTGATCCCAGCTACCCAGGAGGCTGAGACAGGAGTATCGCTTGAACCTGGGAGGCGGAGGTTGCAGTGAGCTGAGATCATGCCATTGCACTGCAGCCTGGGCAACAAGAGTGAAACTCCTTCTCAAAAGTAGAACTGCAAACCACTGCTCAAGGAAATAAGAGAGGACACTAAAATATGAAAAAACATTCCATGCTCATGGATAAGAAGAATCAATATCATGAAAATTGCCAAACTGCCCAAAGTAATTTATAGATTCAATGCTATCCCCATAAAGCTACCACTGACTTTCTTCACAAAATTGAAAAAGACTACTTTAAATTTCAAATGGAACCAAAAAAGAGCCCATATAGCCAAAACAATCCTAAACAAAAAGAACAAAGCTGAAGGCATCATGTTACCCGACTTCAAACTATAATACAAGGCTACAGTAACCAAAACAGCATGGGACTGGTAACAAAACAAAGATATAGACCAACGGAACAGAACAGAGGCCTCAGAAATAAATAATACCACACATCTGTAACCATCTGATCTTTGACAAACCTGACAAAAACAAGCAATGGGGAAAGGATTCCTATATAATAAATGGTGTTGGGAAAACTGTCTAGCCAACCCCTTCCTTACACCTTATACAAAAATTAGCTCAAAACAGATTCAAGACTTAAATGTAAGACCTAAAACCATAAAAACCTTAGAAGAAAACCTAGGCAATACCATTCAGGACATAGGCATGGGCTTCATGACTAAAACGCCAAAAGCAATGGCAACAAAAGCCAAAATTGACAAATAGGATCTAATTAAACTCAAGAGCTTCTGCACAGCAAAAGAAACTATCATTAGAGTGAACCAGCAACCTACAGAATGGGGAAAAAATTTTGCAATCTATCCATCTGACAAGGGACAAATATCCAGAATCTACAGAAAATTAAACTTTCAAGAAAAAAAATAACTCCATCAAAAAGTGGGTGAACAATATGAACAGACACTTCTCAAAAGAAGATATTTATGCAGCCAAGAAACATGTGAAAAAAAAGCTCATCATCACTGGTCATTAGGGAAATGCAAACGAAAATCACATTGAGATACCATCTTACACCAGTTAAAATGGCGATTATTAAAAAAATCAGGAGACAACAGATGCTGGAGAGGATGTGAAGAAATAGAAACATTTTTACACTGTTGGTGAGAATGTAAACTAGTTGAACCATTGTGGAAGACAGTGTGGCAATTCCTCAAGCATCTGGAACCAGAAATACCATTTTTCTGGGTATATAAGCAAAGGATTATAAATCATACTATATAAAGACACATGCACATGTATGTTTATTGCAGCACTGTTCACAATAGCAAAGACTTGGAACCAAGCCAGATGCCCATCAATGATAGACTACATAAAGAATATGCGACAGATACACACCATGGAATACTACGCAGCCATAAAAAAAGTATGAGTTCATGTCCTTTGCAGGGACATGCATGAAGCTGGAAACCATCATTCTCAGCAAACTAACACAAGAACAGAAAACCAAACACCACATGTTCTCACTCATAAGTGGGAGTTGAACAATGAGAATACATGAACTCAGGGAGGGTAACATTATACCCCAGGGCCTGTCAAGGGGTGGGAAGCTGGGAGAGGGATAGCATTAGGAGAAATACCTAATGTAGATGATAGGTTGATGGTTGCAGCAAACCACCATGGCATATGTATACCTATATAACAAACCTGCACATTCTGCACATGTACACCAGAACTTAAAGTAAAACAATAAAATAATAG